TTACTATCTAACGAGACCATTGATCCATAAAATGAAAGCAATCATCAATGTACTGTACTATAAAATAAATAAGACAGTATTGTAGATGATAAAAATTAAAATTCTTTTTTCCTTACCTGCACTGATGATAGTCATTATTTGGATGGGGGGCTTTTAACCATTTCCGCAGTCACACAATACAATCAGTCAATCAATCAATCAATCAATCAATCAATCAGTAGCTGAACTGGGTTCCACACAGTCACAAAAACAAATTAACCAAAAAAGCCTCAAAAACAAAAATGCAAAATAAATAGGAAAAACAAAAGCGCCAAACTTAATCCGTTCTGAAAGTCCGTTTTACTTCCGAAATGTTCAAAAACCAAGGTGCAGCTTCTGATTGGTGCAGGTGCCCTAGAAACAGTAGCCGACAGCCGCATCGGACATTCAGCTTCTGAAAAACGTTCAAAAACCAGAACACTTACTTCTGGGTTTTCGGCGTTTGGGAACTAAGGCGTTTGAGTACCAAGGTACGACCGTAGTTTGGCTTCCTCTGAAACTGTTCATCTGTCTACTATGGTTGAGACTAACATAGTTGTATGAGAGCCAGTGTGGTGTAGTGGTTAAGAGCGGTAGTCTCATAATCTGGGGAACCGGGTTCGTGTCTCCGCTCCTCCACATGCAGCTGCTGGGTGACCTTGGGCCAGTCACACTTCTTTGAAGTCTCTCAGCCCCACTCACCTCACAGAGTGTTTGTTGTGGGGGAGGAAGGGAAAGGAGATTGTTAGCCGCTTTGAGACTCCTGAAGGGGAGTGAAAGGCGGGATATCAAATCCAAACTCTTCTTCTTCTTCTTCTGTATCATTAATTATGTAATCAATTTCAATACATTTCAATGGAAGGGAAATGACAAAAACAATGCAGGAAATAATGTAGTTGCTTCTGCAACATTTTGCAGACTAAAATAAAGATAGCAAATACTACCCCTATTTGCATGGTTTCTGTTCCAGATCTCTGGCAACTATGTGAAATGCAGCAACTTCTCCTATTTCCATTTCTGATGGAATTCTCTGACTCCTGTAGCAGGAACCCCCCCACCCCAATCATTCTGTTTGTACAAACTTCACACACACACACAACATACGCCACATTTCTGTTATAAATTCATAGAAAATCAACCATACATCGGATTTGCACTGTTCCATTTTATTTTACTCCATATGACAAGAACTAACAAAGGGGGGTGGCTTGGCCCTGGTCAGCCATAATCCCTTCACCGTCTCAGCACATCCACAGGAGCCCTGCCCTGATGATCCCAGACAGAAGACAATCAAGATCACAAAGAACTTGCATATGGGAGTGGATTCAGCATGGACTGAAACAAAGGACAATGATCAGATCTTCCCTCTGGGGGCAGGAAACTGCAAACTCCCCTTTGTCTCCTGGAAGTGACTCATTGGGAGGGGGGAAAGGAGGAACCAGCCAGGTGACAAGACACTCAGGTTACCACCAACTCCTCCCTCAACCCCTCCTTTCTGTAATGTATGCATGATGTTTCTGGGGGGTGGGCTTGACCTAGAGGGGGGGAATTTCAAAAGTTTTTATAAGACCTTGCACACTATTTTTCTGGGTCTTTCCTCTCACCTGCAAATGAGGGGAACACCCTGTCGCGACAGTCTTTCTTCAATAAAGACCAAGCCTACAGGCTGCTGATTTGCTTCAATTTACTCTGGTTGGTGTCTTTACTTTTTGTCCAAGGGAGCCCTCAGATTTTTCCGGTAACACTCCCTAAACTACAACTCACATCTTCTCTTGCCTAGTTGTGATGCCATCCAGCAACATGTAGAGGTGTATGAAGAGCTTTCCATCTAAGTGTGGTTTCAATATAAAGAACCCCAGGAAGGGAGGATACCTCGAAGTTGCTCAACCTCAGCACCTGGACAACAGACTCAGCAGGCACACAGATCACCTGCTCAAAATCTTCTCCACTACATTTGCACACACATATATATATGCAAGGGAGAAATGTGTTTAGAGGAAGGCACACTTGGCAAATCCACACTCAGATCAACTCCCGCCCGGAAACCAATGTCCCCACTGTGGAAAGATGTGTGGTTCCAGAATTGGTCTCCACAGTCACTTACAGACTCATTGTTAAAACCATGTTTATGGAAGACAATCTTATTCTGCTATGAGTGATTGCCAAAGACTCACTCTATCTATCTATCTCTCTATCTATCATCTATATCGTCTATCTATCTATCATCTATCTATCTATCTATCTATCTATCTATCATCTATCTATCTATCTATCATCTATCTATCTTATCTATCTATGCACATTTTATACCGATCTGTGAGTTTATTATGCCAATACAGGAGATGTCTTGAAAGTTGTGCATTTTTTTTTAAAGATCAAACATCACTTTGGAAAGGATGGGAACCCATTCAAATAAAAGAAAGTAATTTTGTTAGGAAGTCATGATGCCCTGCCAAATTAAATTAACATTGTATGGCAATCAGTCAAGCAGCACTTATTGCAACATAAAAACAAAACACCTTAAGCTTCACCCATATAGGAATGACATATGAATGGTTAGCTCACTGCCCGTAAGCACAGGTACCTGCACCTGTGCCAGCAACAACTCTCTTACCTACAGAAGCCAGAAGCAGCACTGTGCCTAGAACTCGCTCCATGATAATGAGGTACTAAGGACAGGGGATGTACAATTTTATTCCTCCTACCACAACTTTAGTAAATAATTGACAGAGAAATGAACTGGACCCTCTGTTCACAGCTCTAAGACTTCATCTTTCTCTTTGGACTTACACAATGCGTTCTCTCCCTAGCACCTGTGGTGCCGCTAGTTTTGAAGAATGGAGTAGGCACTTTGCTGGAGGTGAGAAATGGCAGTTCCAGAACGTTGCTGTTTTGCAGGTGGGATTCAACCACGTAAGAACATAGTAAGAACCTGTTGAATCAGGGCCAATAGCACTTTCTTTACTTGTGAATCTCGACAACTGGTATTCATTCTGCCTCTGACTGATGAGCCAGAACATGTCCATTGTAGCTAGCAGCCACTCATAACCTAATTCTCTTTTAAAGCAATCTATGTTGGTAGCCGTCACTACTTCTTGTGGTTGCGAATTCCATAGTTAAATCACCTTGCACAGTTATAACATAAGCTCATCTAGTCCAGCACAGTGTTTTCACAGGTTTCCATATATAGGTTTCTATGGGAAGCTCACAAGCAGAAACTGAGCACGTTAGCACTCTTCCCACCTGCAATTCCCAGTTAAATTTCATTTGGTGCTGTCATGCAAACCTGATTCCTGCCAAAGATGGCCTTTTTGTTTTTGTTTTGTAGTTTTTATTCATTTTCATCTTTAATCTGTTTAACAAGGTTGCATTGAGACATTATCGAGAGGTCTGGAGAGTAGCAACACGAGAATGGGCCTTCTCTGCAGTGGCTCCCTGTCTGTGCACTGCTCTCCCCAGGGAAGTTCACCTGGCGCCTTCATTATACACCTTTAGGTGCCAAGCAAAAAGGTTCCTTTTTAACCAGGCCTTTGGTTGACCTGATCAACATCCCATACCCTTTTAAAATGTGGCTCTTTTGGGGGGGGGATATTATTGGGTTATTACTTTTATTTTTATTTTATATACTGTGATCTTTTTATGTGACTTCCAGGTATAGGGCGGTATATAAATTCTATTATTATTACTATTATTATTATTATTATTATTATTATTATTATTATTAGAGCTATAATACATAATACATAAAATTAAAATAAAACAACAAACACTCAGATAAACATTTCTTTCTTTCTTTTATTAAAGATTTTCTTGATTTACAAAAGTGTGTGCAATGTCTCTCTCTCGTATTTTTTTCCCCATGTAACATTTTTACAAATCAGTTTCATTTGTTGAGACATTAGGAAGTCAGATAAACATTTCTGAACATATCAACATAAGTTTGTCAAAGTGTATATACCAAAGTTATTACAGATATGAAATGATGTATTCTAATGTCTATTGCATAGATTGATGATCAAAGTAAAAAGTATTTTGTATCAGCGACAGATAGAATTGATAGGAATTTATAGGGAGGGGGGGGGAGTAAACATGTACATGCCAGACTGTGCTGTAAACTATAGGTAGTTTTACCATATACTTCATTATTTGTGTAATCAATCATCACAATTTTTTTGTTTTGTTATGTATTTTAAGTCACCTCCTTAACAGTTGCCCTTAAAAGGCTTGAACTGAGCCCTAATATAATTCCTTTTTACATATAAAGGGACAGCAATAACATGAAATTCAGAATGACTCTGGTCAAATCATTGTCTCAGCCAAGCCTCACAAGATCTTGTGAAGATATTTATTGTTTATTTGTTCCATTTATAAACTGCCCACCAACTAAGTCCTCAAATATTATGAGATGATGTATGTCTATAGTGAAGAGTAAATAGAAGCAGTTAGTAAAGAATATGAAACAAAAATTCCAAATAATTAACAAATAGTTAAAACTAGGTAGAAAAAGAGAAAGGTCTGAATGCTGTGATGTACCAAAATTTAAAAGGTTGTTTTTTAATTGAAAAGCAAAACATTTCCAATTTTCTATGACAAATTAAAGCTTTTTTTTAAAAAAAAGATCTCTAACTAGCAAGGAAAACCAATATTAATCCTATAAGGAGCGAATAAACAAGTCTTTCCGGAGTACTGTAAAATCTGCGGATCGCATTCGCTCGTTTTGCTGCAGCTCCACGCCGGAAGCTTTCCTTTCTCCCCCGCCTCTCCGGAGTAGCCCCGCCCCTCCTCCCTATTGGGCAGCGCTGGGAAATGGGGCAGGAGGGAAGAAGCCAGCTCCAGCAGCGCGATGCATTTGCGTCATGGCCCCGCGAGAGGGCCGAGCGCCCAATGGGAACCTGTCTTTGGCGGCCTCCTTCCCGCCCCGCCGAAGGGCGGCAGCATGCGCAGGAGCCGGGAGTGGGCGGGGCCGTCGGGTCACGTGGGCCCGTCCCCCGCCGATGTGGTCAGCGGCTGCGGGGTCACGTGATTCCTTGCCTACGCGCGGTGGGGCCGGGTGCAGATGGCGGACGCCGAGGCTGACGCGGCCCTGCAGCCAGAGATGCCCCGGCTGGCCGCCGGCCTCAGCTCTCGGCTCCGGCAGCTGCAGGCGGAGCTCAGCGAGCAGGGGGTGGGCGAGGGCTCGTCGGGCGCCTATTGCCGGGACTTCTGTCAGGTGAGCGGGGCGGGCCTGGCGCGAGGGCGGTTATTTGGGGGGGGGCGGAGGAGGGCGCGCGCGCGGGACGGTTGGAGGGGGGGAGGGTCAGGCTGGGCCGCTGGAGGAGGTTTGGGGCGCCGGGGCCCCGCGGAGGAGGAGGCGGCAGAGGCGCAGGGGGCGGCGGCGGCGGCGAGCCGTTGCCTGGCGCTGGGGAGGCGGGGCCGAGGGACCGTCCCTGTTGGAAGGCTCCGCCGACACCGCTTCCCGTTTCTTCTACTGTCGGGCTTCGCTGGAGGTTCGGGTTCCGGGACCCGATGGCCGTCTCTCTTCTCGGGGGGCTCCCTCGCTTCTCCACCCAGCCCAGCGCGCTCGGGCTTTCTCCGCGCCCGCTTCCGGATGCTTGTGTTTTCGGCGCGCTCTCCCCGCCCCCCCCCCGCCTCTTTTTGTGGCTGCGCCGGAATTGATGGAGGAAGAGAAGCAGTCGGTTAAACGGGAGCGGGGGGTGGGCTTCGTTTAACGAAATCCATGACACCCCTCCCTCCTTCCGCGGACTCTTTCTCTTTTCCTCGCAGATCTTTGCACGTACACCAAGTCCTCTTTCGCCGTAGCTTTCTAACAGCCGTAGTTGAGGGGGTTATCTCCCTACACTTTGAGGATCTTTGTTTATATGTTCCTCTTCCTTGTCAATAAAAATGTTTATCTGGATCTCTGCTTCCGTTGGGGCTATGTGCAGTATCTTCTATGAGTTTGCCCAAAGATGAGGCCTTGCCTCAGGAGCTCCCAAAGATTAGATGTGTGGTTGCCAGAGACAGGGCCCTTTCTGTGGTGGCTTCCTACTTCTGAAATCTCCACTCCCAACATATTTGCCTGGCTCCTATTTCTGTGGTTTGCTAAAGTCTTTTAATAGTAAACAATAACTTATTTTCTCTGGGTTACTTACTGTTCCGATAGTGTGGATTGAGTATAATATGGCTTGATTCTTATTTTTCTATTTGCTTTGAGTTTTTGTAAGCAACTATGAATTCCAGTTCACCTTTTCAATACAAAAACCTGTATTGACATCTTGGATGTCAGTCACTTTGTACGGTGTTCTGAATCGAATAGTCCTATTGATATGACTTTATTTTAAAATGGAGTTCCAATTCTTTTTCCAACTCATATTGCAATAGACTTTGTATGTTAGTTTTGGGTTGAAAGTATCAACAAAGTGTTTATACAAACACGAACATGCCACATTAAATATAATGGCCACATGGTTTCCATTACAAGCTTGCAACAGGTTAGATAATATTTTCAGGTAGCTTTGTTGGATGTCAGTGTAGAAAGAAAGATTTGATGCTTGGAAATGATCAAAGGGTTGAGAAAGGTTTGTGAATTAGTGAGTGTGGGTTATCCATTGAAGTCGAGTGAGAAACTCTTCCTTAGACATGTTTTCCTGCTTAAAGCTCTGTTACATTTTCACTGTCAGATGAAGGCCATCCAGTTCTCCTATGGGTTTGATGATTTTATCCAAAGGTTGGGTATGGATCATACAAAACGGTAACTTAATATTTTGGATAAAAGTTTTCACCCATTTGTCGTATAAATGGATTGAGATAATGTCCAATGTTGTTACGATTAAGAAGAACCATCTAAGAGTACTTTGGAAGAACACCTCCACCCCTGCTGACATAAACCGCTCATAGCACTAGCACAGGGAGGAAAACCACAGTGGAGGGAACCCTTTAATATTGATTTAGATGGTGCCTTCTATGCATGTGGTGCTTTAGAAAAAATAAGAGTACAGTTTTGCCATGCAAAAATAGGGGGAGGGAAATGGAGGCGTGTAAAAACAGGGCCAAGAAGATGCAGTTATTTCAGTTATGCATTTATTTAGGCTTAAGTTTCATTGAGTAGGCTTTTGGGACTAGGGCAGCCCTGGCTAACCAGTGAGCTGGAGCACAATTCTGAGTCTTGCCTGTGCTGATTGGGGCTGGTGGAAGTTTTTAATCTCAATAGCATCTGGAGAATGGCAGGTTAGCCACCACTGGGCTATAGGGTTCTAAAGGTTTCAGCTGACACCATGAGTGCTTGGAATAGCTGTTTTTAGTGTCCACCAGGTCCTGCAATACTAAAACACCCTGGTCACTTTGTGTTGATCTGAACCATTGACATATAGAAGGACTGGAGCAAAGAAAAATGTGCATGCCACATGACCTCCAGAAATGGGTGATGGTTTATATTGTCAGCTTGGTTCATCAAGTAAACACATGGGTTTTAAAGACTTGTAAACTAATAATTCTTCTAGGCTGCCTTGACTTGTACGGAAACAGGTGACATTTGAAATTAGTTCAAAGCTCAGAAAATGTAATTGTGTTGGATTAGCCTAAAGAGAAGTGATTGTGTTGATGTCCCAGTGAAAATGAGATCTTTACTGCCTTGACAATTCAGCTTAATGATAACCTTTTATTTTCCATGTTTGCATCTTTTTTTTTTTTTGGTATGTCCTACAACTTTTATTAAAACATAATTTTAGTTATTCAATACTAGCCTTAACAAAATGGTTGAGTTGTTAGATTTCTAGATGAGATGCTGCTGCACCTTAGGACAGTGAATCACTTTCAAGTCTTCCTGCTTTCAATACATGAACCTACTAGCTTTTGATGGAATATCACATCCATGTTTATATGCCTCTGCTATTGTGTGCTATGGTGTTTGATATAACAGCAATGGGGTTGTTATAAATCCATGTAGGAATACAAAAACGATAAATGGCTGCATTCAGTTAAGTTTACTCTGTCGTTAATAGATTTATTAAAGTCATTATTTTCAGATCTACTCCAAGGGAGACTAAAATTGGTACAACCTAGAGCAGGCACCCCCAAACTCGGCCCTCCAGATGTTTTGGGACTACAACTCCCATCATCCCTAGCTAACAGGACCGGTGGTCAGGGCTGATGGGAATTGTAGTCCCAAAACATCTGGAGGGCCGAGTTTGGGGATGCCTAACCTAGAGGGTTTTGTAGCAACTTGAAGATAAACAAATTTAGTCTAGATTCAAGTTCATGCAGGTGTATGGAATCTCTTTGCTATGTGAAATGCAAAAGTACAATATGTGACAATTCACTCAAGTGATCATTAACAACATTGACCTGCAGATAAAATTACAATGCAGTGCCACCAACCTAAAGATTTGTGGAGGAGTTGTATTTTGAGGTCAATGGCATGACCATGGGTACTCTCCTGTCCCAACAATATGCGAGCATATCAATGGCTTCTTCAATTCCTGTCCTAAAATATCTTGTTTCTGCTGTACCAGCCTAACACAGCTATCCTTCTGTATTTCCACCTTGCGATACAAGTAGCTCTCTATTGCAGTGTTTCCCAAAATTCTGCTTGCTGAAGCACACCTTTTCTGATTTCAGCTGGACACATGTTTTACTCATAAATCCCAAAATGTTTTCCTTTTTACATTTTGTAAGGGTAATAGCTACCCTTCTCATATCATAGAATCATAGAGTTGGAAGGCATCCTTTAGGATCATTTAGTCCATCCCCTGCAATACAGGAATCTTCACTAAAGCATCCATGACAGATGACCATCCAACATCTTCTTAAAAACCTCCAAGGAGGGGGAGTCCACCATCTTCCAAGGGCGTCTGTTCTACTGACAAACAGCTCTTACTGTCAGAAGGTTCTTCCTGCTGATATGATGGAATCTCCACTTGAATCCATTGGTTTGGGTCCTACCCTCTGGAGCAGGAGAAAGCAAGCTTGCTCCATCTTCCATGTGAAAGCCCTTTAGATATTTGAAGATGGCTATCCTCTTCTCTCCGTCTCTTTTCCAGGCTAAACATACCCAGCTCCCTCAACTGTTCCCCATAAGGCTTGGTTTCCAGAGCCTTGACCATCTTTGTTTCCCACCTTCCATATTGTCAATATCCTTCTTACATTGTGACATTCAGAACTGGACACAGTACTTAAGGTGTGGTCTGACCAAGGCAGAATAGAGTGGGACTGTACCTTCCCTTGATAAGAGATTAGACCCGTGTTGATGTAGCCTTGCCTAGCATTCTTTTTTTCTTCTTCTTTTTTTGCTGCTGCTGTATCAAACTCTTGTCTTGTGTGGTCTACCAAATCCCCTAGATTCTTTTCACATGTACTTCTGGCAAGCCAAATGCTCCCCAGTTGGTTATTCCTGCCTAAGTGTAGAACCTTGTATGTTCCTGTGTAAGTTGCTGATCTGATCATGCCTCTTCATTGGAGGGTGGCAAACCAAGGACAAAGAAACACCTGGCATCCTTCTCAGAGGAAGATAATTCTTTTAAATTTCTGCATCTAAATATATTTAAAGAACTCAGTTGCATCCCCATCCTTTGAGGGTGTCCTTTGCAAAGTCTCTGTGGGTGGACCCCCTCTGATGCTTGTGTAATCAGCAGCACACGTAGTGCTCCAATGAGCAGCATTCAAAATTCACCAAGCACCAACCTCATTTTGCACCTGGCTATTGGTCACTTGCAACCAAGTGAAGATGCCAGGGTGCCAGAATGGTGCCTGATGTCTCTACCATCTGGAGGTGCATGCCTGGGGGTCCTTGGATCTTGCCTGTTTTCGCGCACCATCAATACATCCTAAAGAATTTTCTGTCCATTGTATTTCATCTACACAATCAGAATGAATTTCAGGAACCAAAAAGTTGTATTGAAAAACACAACTTTTGAGCTGTCTGGCCCCAAAATGGCAACGACATTCTGTTCTGGTGACTGTAACTCTGGTTTAAGCTGCTATTCTGTGCTTAGCTTAAATATCTTGAGTTTCTAACACTGCCAATGAGTACTTGGTAGCTACTCATTATGTCAGTGGCTGGGACCTCAGCAGCTTTCCAACTTTGCTGTGAGCTTAGTTGAATCTGGATACAACTGATTTATGCAGGCTGAACAGAGGCTGATTGGAGGTCAAGGCCATAACAAGTGACTATGGGGAGACACCTGGCAGCCTTTCTGTGGGAGAGTGCTATAGTGCTCATGTCCTGCTTGTGGA